CCCTTTGAACCAGTGCTTTGGTGACAGTTAAAAGGAAAAACTCCCTTTTAACAGGAAGAAACCTCCAACAGAACCAGGCTCAGGGTGGGGCAGGGTGAGGGTCAGCATGCATTACAAAATGGTCCACATCTCTTTGCATTCTCTGAGAGCTTGGACAGGAGCTATTTCAGCTGGGTCCTCAGCTATCCTTTTTCTAGCACCATCTGACTGAGGAAACCCAGTTTCTTCTCGAAGACATCACACTTCTGTGATCTGAGTTTGCCACCATGTTTCTGGTATCTCTGATGTGTTCGACATGAGTATCAAATGAAGGAGAGTGGACTAGGTTGTCTTCCAAATACAGCTGACAGATTACATCCTGAAGCCCTCTTAATTAGTCCTCCATGCTTCATTGAAACTCTGCTGAGGCTCAACGAAGAAATAAACAGGCAGGCTGCCCCAACCAAGGAGGAAGGAAGGCAGGGAGCAACCAACAGGGACCAGCAACCAAGCCCGATAGACATGCCCCTCACCAAGAAAAAAAAAAAAAAAACAACCAGCAAGGAAAGCAAGCCAACCTTGAATTCTAGAAATTTTTTAATTCTGTGCCTCTGTACTGACATTCTGTTGAGTCCCCTGAAATCTCAGCACAATCTCAGTTCACCTGACTTTTTTCTAATACAGGCAACTGGGGATGAGTAGGGTGACCGGGACTCTGAAATCCACTCATGGTTCAGCAGATCTTGAAGATAGTCTTTCACTTCAGAGGTTTTGAGGCTGATATGTAGGTCTTCAGTGATGTACATGTCTAAAGTGTGGCTGCATCCAACATGATAGTCATCATAAACAAATGCTGACATGCTCGTCTTTACTGAGATGGTCTAATTTATCTGGAAGGTCCCACTGAGGTGGCTTATGGCTGGGGGCAAAGGTGGATAATAACTTTATCTATCTGTATATGTGGCTTTAAGGAAAGTGGTCCCACTGATCCTGATGTCATGTCTTCTCTGCCAGGACTCTGCCCAAACTTTAGCTTGGGTCAGGTGTCACAATAGTTTTAGCACTGATTTAGCAGTATTTACTGACAGTGAGAAGATTCGGATGATTTTTCAAATGTTGCCTGATCTTTTTAGCCGCTTGCTCCATTTACCCACTCAAATCTGCAACATTGGGATCACTAGATCCCCGAATTTGAACTAGAACCCTGTTTTGAAGGTAACAGTTCAAATAAAACTCTGTCTCTATCCACTCATCATATGAGATTTCGCTGCCATTAGTTGCTAGAGCTACCAGTGGTTCTGTTCCCAAAAGCTCAGCATACTTCCTTCCTGCCGCCTGTTACTCTTCTTTAACCAGTTCATGCATGAATTATGACCTCAATCAGGATTTCTTTCTTAAGTATTTTTATTCATCTTTAGGTATGAAAAAAAGATTTTTGAACTTCAATTTTTTTTAAACATGTACTTTTCAAAGAGTTTTTTACATGTCCACTTAGGTGGACAACATATGTTTTGACTTATGAATTTGGTATTGAGTGACACATCAGTGTCCAATGTAGTGGTTTATGTGCAAGTATACCATCAACACTGACACAAATACAAGAAAACAGCCTTTGAATAGCTGTCCACTGTAGTGACCACTATGTGTGAAAGCGTTAAAGACCAGTGCTGTGGATACCACCTGCTTTTATTGTAGACATTGGTTGAGTCAGTAGGTTGTAAAATACTCGTAATATTGCAATTGTAGTCTATTGGCAGTTTTTACAGTTGAAACACATTTTGTTGTGCATCTGCATCACCAGAACTTGAATAGATTTTCTGTCATTTTAGCGTTTGCATTTTTTTAAGCATTGCATTTAGCATGTGAATCATTCAGCCATCATCATTCTTGCATATTTGGTTTTTGTAAAAAAAAGAAAAAAGGATGTGCTAATGTGTACAGAAACAACTAGTCAAAAGGTGTGTGTGAGTGTGAGAGAGAGTGTGTGTGACTGACATTCTGGGGATTTCTCTATATAGCTTTGTTAGTGTTGCTATGATAAATTGTTGTGGCTGTGATGTGGTATTGAGGATGTCATGCTGCCAAGCTTCATGCCAAGGAGTCATAGGAAGACAAAGAAATTGCAAATGCACGTAAGATATTTCTTTTGTTGTTTTTCTTTATTTGAAAAGTAACTACATCAAACAACATTACTAGAATTACTAGAATTAAGAACTAATGCAATATGTGATATTACTTTTTAACACCCAACACTGATTACTGATACGTCAGTGATAAATCGATTTAATGGTTAGCTGAAAGCAGCACATAGCTAAATGTAAATAATTAAACTGCTATTTAAAAGAAAGTTATGGTTAGCATGTTTTCAGTTCATTCAAAAGCGGACTCATCACCTCATCAGTTGAAAGTCCCTCTCTCATATCTGATAGAAGAACTTTGGCTGTTTCTTTAACTGGGTCAGGGCTGAGCATCTCATTTGCAATGACTTTGCAGGCAGGTCATATTAATGTGTCTGCGATGGTGTATTGCTTTTTGGATTCAGCTTCTAGGTAGCTAGCTTTGAGAAGTCTTTCAGACATCTTTGTGGTTAAACCAAACCAAGAGTGACATGTTTAGCCGCATGTTCTCCTTAAATTCCTGGTTGTCTGAGCAGTGTCCAAAAAATGAAATGGGCTTTATAGATAATTAGGAAACTTTCTGGGGAAAATCTGGTCTTATTAGAAGAGACGGCATCCATCCCACTTTGGATGGAGCAGCTGTCATTTCTAGAAATCTGGACAAATTTATTAACCCCCTCTAAAACGTGACTATCCAGAGTTGGGACGAGGAAGCAGAGCTGCGGTCTTACATGGCTCTCTGCAGTTTCTCTCTTTCCATCATGCCTGACACCTCCCCCTCCGAACAGAAAAGCAGGACAGAAATCTCTGGAGGGCTACCTTTGGCAGCCCATATCCTGGGAGGGGTGATGGGCAGTAACAGTAGTATTTAAATATTAAAAAATAAACAGAAAGAACAATATAATATCCACAACTACATCAAAGAGTAAAACTGTTAAATGTGGATTATTAAACAATTAGTCTCTCTCCCCTGAGTCCCTGTTAGTAAACCATTTAATAATTGGCTAACATATTGATTTACTCTGCCTTACAGAAACCTGGTTACAGCAGGTTGAATATGTTGAAATAAATCAACGTCCTCGTGATAAACTAACTGTCAGAATCCTCGAAGCACAGTCTGAGGGTGCAGAATAACAACAATCTCCCATTCCAGCTTATTAACCATAGACACAGAGTTTTAACTCATTTGATAGCCTGACTCTTAACCTTGTCCACTCTAATTGGAAAACTCAAAAAGCTGTTTTATTTGTTGTTATATATCATCTGCCTGATCCTTATTAAGAGTTTCTATCTGGTTTCTTGGGCTTTTTATCACATTTAGTGCTTAGTTCAGATAAAATAATTGTTGCGGGTGATTTCAACATTTGTGTAAATACTGAAAATGATAGATTAAACTAGACTCGACTCAGTTGGCTTCTCACAAAATGTGAAAGCGTCCACACACCACTTTAATCCCACTTAGATCTTGTTCTGACATATGACATAGAAACTGAACATTTAACAGTATTCCCCAAAAACCATCTTTCATCTGACCATTTACTAATAACTTTACATTTACAATAATGGATTATACAGCAATGGGGAAACATTTTATCAGAGTAAATGTCTTTCTAAAAGTGCTGTAATTAAGTTTAAGGATTCAATATAAAAGCCATCACCTGACCCAGCCGTCTTAGCTAATCTCCAACCTTCATTTAATTATTGAAAGAGTAGTTTTAAAACTTCCAGCTTATCATCTGCAGAGGAATCATTTATTTGAAGAGTTTCAGTCAGGTTTCAGAGCTCATCACAGCACAGAAACAGCTTTAGTGAAGGTTACAAATGATCTTCTTAAGCCCTCTGACAGTGGACTCATCTCTGTGCTTGTCCTATTAGACTTCAGTGTAGCGTTCGACACTGTTGACGATATTTTATTACAGCAATTAGAGCATGTCATAGGTATTAAAGGTACTGTGCTGCAATGGTTTATATCATTTCTATCGAATTGACTTCAATTGATTTAATTTGTAGTTTGAATCTGTTTAGTCTTTTTTGTATATTTTTCATATGTTGATTTATTTCACGATTCAGACTGCTGTAAGCACACTGAGCACAAGGGGAAAGAAATGCCAAGTGAAAAGGAGAGAGGAGATATTTCAGACAAATTAGAGCTACTAGAAACACTAAATTGTTGTGTAAATGACTAAATGACTCATGAAAACAGTGATTAAGAATATAAATGTTTTGTGATGTCATGTGATCCAACCCCTCTATTTGCAAAATTTTCCTTTCGGTCAGGAGCACCGATAAAACAGATTCTCCTGATGTAGTCTGCGGGCAGAATGCATGATGCCATGATGTAAATCTGTGAATCCATTCAAAAAAGTGTATAAATCTGCTTGTCCAACAGAGCTGAATGTAATAATGTAAAGAATAAACCAGTCTCTCCTGTGCAGTAAGTTAACCCTAGCCCTAACCTGGAGATGTGGAAGAAAGGAGCACCAGAGGTTCTAATGGCAGAATGGGGGATTTAGTTGTTTTAGTAGCTTTTGCTGTTTCTGAGATGTTTGTAGCTCAGTTCAGTTGCATTTTATTTATATGGCGCCAAATCACAACAGCAGTTGCCTCAAGGTGCTCAACTATTTTGAAAAACACACAAAGAAAATGGCAATTGTATAAATTCATGTTGAGTCTAAGTGACTCTCAGAATAAAGTTTGTGCTTTTTCAAAGCATGTCTTGTTTCATTACTTCCATATGACAGCAAATTAAGATTACACACGTGAGGTTTTTTTTCTCTCTTCTTGACCTCTTCTTCCCTCCACAAATTGTTCCCTCTTTTCCTAAACCCATCTCCACTCACTCCCTTGTTCTCATGTTGACATCTGTTGTGGACCCCTCTGCCTCACTTCCTGCTCCATCTTCAGATGCCCTCTTGCTACAGGAATGCGCTGAACATTGTGGTCACCACCCTTTTTGCCGCGGTGGTCCTCTTCACCATTCTGTTGGCCTATGTTACAGGTTCATTTCAATCACAAACACAAAAAGTATATGATAATTAAAATGTATGATCGTATTTACTGATCGCATTTTTTTCCCTTCTTCATTGTGAAGGCTACCAGTTTATCCACACTGAGCAGCACCACCTGTCCTTTGGCCTATATGGTGCCTTCCTCTCCCTCCACCTCTTTCTCCAGAGCCTCTTTGCATTCTTGGAGCATCGGCGGATGAGGAGTCCTGCCCGACCTCAACACCTCCGGCGTTCCGTGGCCCTCTGCATCGCAGCTTACCAAGAGGACCCAGACTACCTAAGGAAGTGTCTCCACAGCATCTGCCGAATCTCTTTTCCAGGCTTGAAGGTGGTGCTGGTTGTGGATGGAAATAGACCCGAGGATCGCTACATGATGGACATTTTCCATGAAGTGATGGGAGGAGCGGACCAGGCTGGCAGCATGGTGTGGAAGGGGAACTATCACAGGGACGGTAGTGGAGGTGGGGGGAAAAGCACAGCGCACATGGAAGAGATGGCACAGGTGTCAAGGATGGTCAGAGGTTGCCGCTATTCTTGCATTATGCAGGAGTGGGGAGGTAAAAGGGAGGTGATGTACACTGCCTTCAAAGCGCTGGGGGACAGTGTGGACTACGTGCAGGTAAGGGCTACACAGACACCATCACATATATGTACCTTTGCAATGGCAAAGAATTCATTTGAACAATTTAGGCTGACCTGATGTATAATCTGAATATTCATCCTGACCACTTGTTATGATCTGCATAGTTTGTATAGTCATTCTGACCACTTAGCTACTAACCACGGTAATGTAAAACGGGATGGCTGTAGCTCAGGAGTTAGAGCAGGCCATCTACTAATCAGAAGACTGGCAGTTCAATCCCTGGCTGTCCAGCCTGTATGCCAGATTCTAAACCCAAGTTGCTCTCCAATACATCCATTTTTGAATGCCAGAGAACCATGTTTGATAACAGATGCCATTTAAAACCTGCACTTATGTCTACCTGTGCTAGCTGTTTATTCTGAACTACATGCTAATGCTAACACACTAATGTTAAAAACTGGGCAAAATACTGCCTTAGAGCAAGAAGTACATAAGTTCTATGTGGCCATTAGAAAAACCACACTCACAGTGAAATAGAGTACACAAGATTTCTTTTTATTTCAAAGCCTACTAGTGCTGACAGTGTAATTCTGACCTGCAGTCCAGAGCCCAAGGATACCACAGCCTGGTTTCATACAGGAAAAGGTGGTCGCTCAGAGGAACAAGATGTCAATCACATATCTTAATAATCGGACTCTTGCATCTTCCTAAGAGAGTTTTCATCTACCTTAATAGGCCTTGTGTTAGTGGAACACGAGTTTCCATACCAGATCCTTGGAATAGAACTCTCTTTTTCTCTGGGTCCTCTGTGATTTCAGCAGGTTGGCCACCTCCTAATTGCACAGTAGGCTTTTGCTCAGAGCCTGACGGCAGATTCGGTCCAGTGCTTTTTTAAAAACTTCACAAACCCTGATTTAAATTGATCCTTCTGTCAAATAAAACTACGTTATTTTAAAAATAGGACCAGACCAGGTTACAAACTATGTTTTATAGCCCCCTTCTTTCCTGTTTACCCACAGCCAGATTCCCCCCCCCCCTTTTTATAGGGGTGGGGGTGGGGGCACCAATTATAACGCATGACTTTTCTTACATCAACACTGTGAAATGCGTTGTCAGCAGTATAAAATCCTGCACACCCAAAAATGACCTCTTTTGTATTTAACATGACAGTAACATTACTTGTGATTTTTTTCATAGTAAAAATAAACCATCTGTTTATTAGAAGAATGAAAACCTTCACCATCCGTGAAGGACTTGCAATGTAATGTAAAACAAGCATGAAATCCTAACTACTTTACACAAGTAATAGTCAAGCAAGACTGTTGAAACTGTTGTTGTTGTTATTTAACTGCTTATGGAAAGACTTTCCGGGTCTGCATCCAGACCTGTGGGTTAATGCTGGATATTGAGTTCCTTCTTCATGGCCAACTGTTGCACGCCTTTGTCCTTGCTGAGGGTAAAGGTCGAGTCCACAGCTGACCCAGGTGCATTGAAATTACAGAGAACCAGCTGGGATGTTTGTCAGCAGCCTCTCATTTTTCTCTTGGATTTTACAATCAATACCAGCCTGTGTTTGGCAACACCTGGGGTCTTAGACTGCTGGTTGTAATTGTCTGAGCCCGTCTTTAACCCCCACTAGGCCTCACCTTTTGTTTTTTATGTCGTCTTTTATTTCCCCAGGTGTGTGATTCAGACACAGTTTTAGACCCAGCATGTACCATAGAAATGCTCAAGATCCTTGAGGAAGATCCAATGGTGGGAGGGGTTGGTGGAGACGTGCAGGTAAAACAGCACTGCAGAGGAAAAGTGAAATGAGAAAGTCAACTTGAATTTCCTCTCTTGTTATTGATTAAACTCAATATCTAAATATCAGAGTCACAGAATACTGAACCCTTTATGCATCAAAATGGCTTTTATCTTCTTTATTACGCTGCGTCTGTGAGTATGCAGTTCATTTTTGCATCAAAGTACAGGGCAAACTTCAGATTGCTAATATGCTCGCTTATGCCCAAACCACCTCAACTGGCTCCTTTCAATGTGGAGGAGTAGCGGCTCCATAGCGGTGGGTGTTGTTGGACAGGGCTTCCCTTTGTCACCGATTGTCACTTTGCCTTCTAGTGTACTTTAAAATATCACAACAATTGGAAATGTCATAGACAGCTCTAAATCCTTCTCAGTCATACAGTTATCCTTTTACATTGAACACGTGTAAAAATAGGAGATATTGTGATTTGGCAAGCAGCCCTACAACTAACTGCCGGATGGCTTTCACTGCAAGACAAGGCCTTGTTAAATCATTCAAAGACAGACAATCCATTTTCTTTGTCCTTGGCATGGCTATTAACACAACAGTGGCCGTCATTCACAAAGAACCGTTCTGGGCACTTCAACGAAAAACTGAAATTATAGCTAGCCTAGCAAGTGGTCGTATCCAGACTGAAGTTATAACAACATTTGCATCATGAGACGATGCTTTCCCTTGTTGTCGGAAGACCATGGCTATATTGTGAAGCTTGAAGGCTCTACTTGAAATGCAAATTGGTCTCATGGTGTGCTCAAAAATCAGTCAATCAATCAATAAATAAAAAGCAAGAGAGGAATAGACTTACCAGAGCTGGGGGACATAACGAAAGGAGATAAAAAGAAAAGCACGTAACATCAGCTTCACATCCAAAGTGCTGTACAATAAAGGAAATGCCAAAGGGGAATCCACACTGTTACTAGCTCATCTTCCTGTAGCCAATTCCAGCAACGAAGAGGATTGAACAAGATAATTAGTATTCACAAAGCTGAACTTGACAGCTATGGACACTCAGCCCAAAAACCAAGTGCTCAGTCAGGCCTCAAATAAGGACACTAAGGACACTGTAATGCCAGTTCCACCCACAATCCATTGCTCAACAATCTCTCCGTAAAGGCAATGGCAGGTCTGCACCTCCTATGGCAGCCCAAGTCCATAAGACAACTCTGAACAAAAGTCCCACACTAGCTGCTGCTCAAATCAGGCAATTTTACAAGTAGACAGTTCAGTGAGCTACATTTAGGTGAATTATCAGCTGTCATAACGCTAATTATTTAAGCTGACAGAATCAAGTGAACAGACATGCAGCCTACCTATAGCGGGTTAACCTCATATATTGCTGACAGCCAAAGAGAGACATGAGAAACAGAGCAGGGAGCATAACCAGCCCAGCTACAGCCACAACCTTGAATAACATAAAGTTTTACATTAATTAAAGTAAAGGAGTTTAATGAGGTAGATAGATTAATTAGCAATTTAATGAGTTAGATACAGAAATGAGCTGTATCTAACTCAGAAAAGTGGGCTAACCATGCATATTTTTGCACATTTGAAATACTCAAATGTAAAATCCTCACAGAAAAAAACGACAATGCAAAAATGTATAAAACTACATTTGAAATGTCATCTAGGTCCTGAAAATGTGTCTATTTTATTCTATTTATATCTGGGACAAAAAAAGGTGAAGGCTCCTTGGAGAGTTTCAAGACAATATTCCCTAAACCTGAAAAAAAAAAGGAAAAGTTGATGGAAAAATCTTAGCTTTCAGTAACTGTTAAGATACAATGAAACCTGACTGTGATTTTCCTTTCTTTCAATCTTAATATATTCTTATGCACTTTCCTATCTTCCAGATACTCAACAAGTACGACTCATGGATCTCCTTCTTAAGCAGTGTGCGCTACTGGATGGCCTTCAACATTGAGCGTGCGTGCCAGTCCTACTTTGGCTGTGTCCAGTGTATCAGTGGCCCTCTCGGGATGTACAGGAACTCCTTGCTACAGCACTTCTTGGAGCCATGGTACCATCAGACCTTTTTAGGCTCCAAGTGCAGCTTTGGAGATGACCGCCACCTCACCAATCGGGTGCTTAGCTTTGGGTACAAGACAAAATTCACAGCTCGATCACAGTGTCAGACTGAGACACCAACCCAGTATCTGCGTTGGCTCAACCAGCAGACTCGATGGAGCAAGTCTTACTTTCGTGAATGGCTCTACAATGCCTTGTGGTTCCATAAACACAGCCTCTGGATGACTTATGAATCCATGGTCACTGGCTTCTTCCCGTTCTTCTTGGTTGCTACAGTCATCCATCTCTTCTATCGTGGACGGCTGTGGAATATCCTGCTCTTCTTATTGACAGTCCAGTTGGTTGGGATGGTGAAGGCGACCTACGCCTGTTTTTTGCGTGGCAGTCTGGTCATGATCTTCATGTCACTTTACTCACTTCTCTACATGTCCAGCCTTCTTCCTGCCAAAATATTTGCCTTGCTTACCATAAACAAGGCTGGATGGGGCACATCAGGCCGCAGGAAGATTGTGGTCAACTTCATTGGAGCGGTGCCAGTTACAGTTTGGGCTATGGTGCTGCTTGGAGGTGTGGCATATACAGTTTACTGTGAAACACAGGAGCCATTCAGTGAGACTGAGAAAGCCTTATTGATAGCAGGGACGATACTCTACGCCTGCTACTGGCTTATTCTTGTGGTACTGTATTTGGCAATTGTAGCCAAACGGTGTAATAAGAGGGAAGAACAGTATCATCTGCCATATGAAGAGGCCTAAACTGGAAATATTGCTCGTCTGAGTTTCACGGCAGTTTGATTCAAGCAAGGTCTCTACTCACCTTGCTGGAACAAAAAGATTGAACAAGGAAAACACATCTTCATTGCTGGTGCTACAACACTGTGATTCTTAAATTTGAGAAGCATGACTCTAGTTGTGGGGACTTATAGATCCATACAGTTCTTCCATTTATCCCATTTTTATGGTGCTTCACAGTGAAAACCTTAACCAAGCAGAATAGGTCATAATGTTTTAAAATATCCATATACTTGCTATGAAAAACATCAGGTAATTGATGGGTACAGGTTGCTTTTTGTAATGAAAAGTGTCATACAGTGTTTTACTTTTTTTTTTTTAAATACATGTGAAACTTTTATATTTAAGATGTTTACTTAGATTAGTCAGAGCACCTGCTTTGGAAAAGATTAGGGAGGCTCAGTAGGTGTAGAGTCCAGACAGAGACAAAGCAAATTTTAAAAAATATGAAACTGCCAACAAATTCAACTGAAGATGTGTTTAACATGGAAGAGAGGAAGAGATGAATTTGTCCTGGCCAGTCAGCATGAATTTAAAAATATAGAGAGGTAGGAAGTAGGAAGAGAGTCTTTAAGAAATAAACAGAAAATACACTAGTGTGTGAGTTATACATAAAAATACATCCATACTCTGTAACATCCTAAGATCTGTACAGTTGGTGCATGAAAAAAAAGTACATAAATATTCTGTGTCTTAATTTCGCTACTTCCATTTTTACTATTTATACTTTAATAGTATATACATTATACTATGTATCTACTAGTGTAGTGTGTGAATTTCAGTAAAGTAACATTGTCTCAAATTGTCTGTGTAGGTTCTCAGTCATCCAGGTGATCCAGGTGAGGAGCTTGGAAAGAAATCATCTGGACTTCTTTAAGTTTCTTTAAGACTTTTAACCTCTGATCTGAGAAGCTTCTTCAGGTCCACTGGTCATTCACAGTGGGCATAGATGAATGACCATCTTTGTAAAGAGGGGATGGCTTACGACACCAACTGTCTGCCACTTACTATGCAGTTCTGTGTTCCCTTCCCAGGCGCCTCACCCTCCACTTAGCTCTTGCATCAGGTGATCTCAGTGGGTCAGATAATAGGGAAAGGCAAGGCCTCACAATGGTTTCAACCGAAGCCTCCGCTGATAGTGACCTTTTTTCGCACCTTGCGGCGTGTTGTGAGGCACGAGATCAAGTTAGTTTTAGAACTGAAGAAGCTTCTCAGATAAGATGTGAAACGTCTTCAAGTAATTAAGAAGTCCAGTCACTTTCTTTCCAAGCCATTTAGATCATTGTCTCAGATTACAAACAGTAAATTGTAAAGGTCACAAAAATAATGTTTGTAAGGTTTTACCATGATTGTGCACCAGCTGCCACCTTTTGTAATAATTTGAAACATGTTGATCCTAAGATGATACATATTGCTAAATTCATCACCAAACACCACCATAACGTGTTGTGTTAGTGCTTGAAAAAGATCTGCTGTGTTTACCTCGTTGATTAGCATTGCCACATAGCATTCCACTAAAGATGCTTTTTCACACTGATTTGTTTAACTCTCTTTCAGTTACTGTATGTAGCCAAGAGTAGATTAAAAAAGTATGGTTCACTCTTAGCTTTGACCGGTACCTGTAGGGCTCTTGAGATTTGGCAGGTGGGTGAACCACAAGATTTAGTTTATCAGTGCAGGGAAAAATTATTCTCAAATTAATATTTGCTTTGAACTTGAGTAACAGCAAGAAGAGATATAGACAAATGAGGAATTGCAAGAAACATTACTAATATAGCTTCAAACAGTCATGGAAAGCTGTTACATTATTAAAAATGTTATACTGTTATTAGGCCAGCTAGCATATCTCCCCATGTGAAGACCCTAAATGTATTTAGTTAAGATGCATACATACAGTGATATGAAAAAGTATTTTCCCGTTCCAGATTTCCTGTTTTTTTTGCATGTTTGTCACACTTAAATATTTAGGATTATCAAACAAATTTAAATATTAGACAAACATAACACAAGTAAACACAAAATGTAGTTTCTTAAATTCAGCCGTTCATAAGTGGACTGGCTGGTGCGTTTTGGGTCATCGTCCTGCTGCAGAACCCAAGTGCGCTTTACTTTGAGGTCATGAACAGGTGGCCGGACATTCTCCTTCAGGATGTTTTGATAGACAGCAGAATTCTCTGTTTACCACAGCAAGTCTTCAGGTCCTGAGGCAGCAAAACAGCCCCAGACCATCACACTACCACCACCAAATTTTACTCTTGGTATGATGTTCCTTTTCTGAAATGCTGTGTTACTTTTATGTCAGATGTAACGGGACACACACCTTCCAAAAAGTTTAACTTTTGTCTCATCAGTCCACAGAGTATTTTCCCAAAAATCTTGAGGATCATCAAGATGTTTTCTGGTAAAATTGAGACTTGATGTTCCTTTTGCTCCGCGGTGCTTTTCATATTAAAACTCTGCCATGCAGGCCATTTCTTTCCGTCTTTCTTATGGTGGAGTTGTGACACTGACCTTAACTGAGGCAAGTGAGGCCTGCAGTTCTTTAGGTGTTGTTCTGGGGTCTTTTGTGACCTCCTGGATGAGTCATCAATGTGCTCTTAGGGTAATTTAGGTCGGCCGGTCACTCCTTGGAAGGTTCAAAACTGTTCCGTCCTTTCGCCATTTGTGGATAATGGCTCTTATTGTTGGCTGGAGTCCCACAGCTTTAGAAATGCTTTATAACCTTTTCGAGACTGAGAGATGTGTCTGATTTGCTCCTGAATTTCCTTGGACCGTGGCATCAACTCTGGCTTTTGAGGATCTTTTGGTCTACTCCACTTTGTCAGGCAGGTCCTATTTAAGTGATTTCTTAATTGAGAACAGATGTGGCAGCAATCAGGCCTGGATGTGGCCACAGAAATTCAACATGGATATCACATCCAAAGATGTGATATGCCACGGTTAATTTATGTTATAACAGGGGGGTCCAATCCCTTTTTCACACAGGTCGATTTATGTTTGGATTATTTTTGGATTCCCCCCCCCCCTTAATAATAAATGCCATCATTTAGAAACTACATTTTGTGTTTACGTGTGTTATCTTTGTCTAATATTTAGATTTGTTTAATTATCTGAAACATTTGAGTGTGACAAACAGACAAAAACATAGGAAATCGGGAAGGGGGCATTCAAGACATTAATATTTTTTGTGCTAGTTAGCAAGCTGGCAAATTGACTAAAGCAATAGGCCTACAGATTTTACACTGCCGCAAACTGCCACTACAGCATGGCACTACAATTCTGAAATTCCTGGGGATAACCCTAAAATGGGCGTTTTTCTAGTAATGCGTAGGCATGCCAATATAAACAACTGTCTTAAACATTGTTGTGATAAATTTTTGAAACAACTGATTTTGCAGCAACTATGAGGAGAAAAAAAATCCATATTAATACCTTTAATGATTCAAAGTATGTGGTCGAGGTGCAATTGTCATTTGTTCTACTGGGGTATCAAAGTCTTCTTGTCAAAATCTAAAAACAGTGACCATCTTATCAGACAACAGTATGTTGACACAACTGTATTAAAGTTTAATGATGTTTGGAAGTTATATAGTGATTTCAGACAGTACTATGAACCTCCCTTCTGCATACATGCTAAAGTGTGTACTGTATCAAAACCAGACCTGAAATCTGTTCCTACTGAGACACTGATTGCATTTGGAAGTATACAGGATAGGTGTGGAAGTTTTCTAGACTTTGTGTGTTTCTCATGAATCACGAACAGCATTATCGTCCACTATGATTTACCAGAAAAGAGAATCCAAACATCTCTGAAGGTAGGGCTGCATTTTGTTGTGGCTGAGCAGTGTCATTGTTAGAATTATTTTACAGTTCTCGGTGTGTTGTAGTTTAATTCAGAAGTCTTTTTTATATAATGAAAAGTTGCCATATTATATCTGTGTTTTTCTGCTGGATACAGTTATGTTGATGTGGGTCATTTACACATTTTACACTAGATTTTGATTTTGTCTGTTCACACCAACAAAAAGACTAAACACCAAAGTTTTTTTCTAGGATATGTTCCAAAAACCTGTATCTGTATGTTTCGTGTGAGAAACATCTGCATAATGGACACTTTAAAATATTTAAGTTATATTCATATTGCTTTATTTTGAGATGTAAAAGCTTCAACTTGAAAGGTGAAAAGGTCACATACATTTAAAGGAACATTACAACTCTGACATTTTGTAGCTCTTGTTTCTTGATCTTCTGCTGTTTCCATCTCTGGGCATCAACAGGATGCTGAAAGTCATTAAACTGCTTTCTATTTAGGACACAAAAATCCTATTCATATGATACAGAAAATGTCTCATTTAAAGGACTACATGGATTTCCCCCCTGTTTAAAATCATTTTCTGACTGTTTTTTTACTGTATTTTTTGTTCACTTGAAAACATAAAATTCATTTTTAATAAGTCACTTTGGAATCGTTCTTTAGTGTCGTCACTCTTCAGTCTTTTTTGTGTCTTTTCTTATCTTTTTCTGCAATCAGCAATATTTTTGCCTTTCACGCTGCTATTTGGTTCATTAACATACAGTACAGACACAGAAAAAGCAAAAAAACACATTAAACAAAGATATACAGAGACATACAAGACAGACAGACTAAGTGAACACAGCATGTTGCCCAAAGATAGCTTGGAGCAGCCAGGGACAGAGCCACCTCCCCATTAGTACATGACCTGCTCTACTACAGCCTTCCCACCTGAGAAAACTAAAACTGGAATTGAATTAAAGAATTGATAGGAAGACATAATTTCTGGTGCCAAGACTGTGTTTGGAGAACTCTAAACATGGCATTAAATCTGCAAAATCCCTTGCCAACTAGATAAAGCAAAAATAGTGAAAATGTAACCGGACAAATTACATAAAGTGGAAATTCTGATAAGCGATTCTACACAAATTTTAATTAAGCTCATCCTTCCTAGGCTGGATCAAAACATTATACAGTTCTTTATAGCATCAATCCTACTGCACTTTATATGCATATGAAACAAAAAATTCTCAATTTGAGTGCATTGACTCTTTATAAATATTTGTAAATATTATACATTTTATAGGTTTTATTTTTTGCTTTTATGTACAAAATTTTTTCTTATTTATTTTTTCTGCTATATCTTTAATTCGCTTTTCCTTGCTGCTATAATGTGAATTTCCCTAAGTGAAATAACGTCTATGTCCTGTTCCTCCTCGTGAAGCTTTCTGAAGGAGTCACGTGAAGGACAGTCTTGGATTCCACCCAAATGATTTCACAGTTGCAGCCCTGCTTTTCCCACTGCTCTCTGCACTTCTTGTAAAATAAAAGCTTTAAAAATTTCTGATATATACAGTGGAAATACAATTTACTAATTACAAGAGAAAGCTGGAGTGGATACTCCAGCAGAACAACATGAGAGATGTGGAGTGGCAAGAAGACAATCACTGGATTCCTGCCATCCAACAGCAGAAGAGCTGAGGGTGGTGAGGACAGAGCCAGTCTTTAACAGATTCAACACTGCAGTTAATGCTCAGCCCCCTGCTGACTTACCTCTAGTCTGCCTACAATCCAAAGCAATGCCACTATAGCCTCTCTTATATTAGCCCTGTCACCCCAGGGATGTGGTCAAAGCCTTGCCAGCTGGCAAGGATCCTCATCAGGCTGTTCAACCTCTCCCTGACTCATGCCAGGGTTCCCACCTGTCTGAAGGCCTCCTCCATCATAACCTGCGATTCATTTCAAGCTATGCATGTCTTCCACAGTGTCTTTTATCCTGTCTTTCTCCCATCACCTCCAACTGACTGTGGGAGATGGCGAACCCTCCTTAAAATCTGTTCTGCCAGAGCTTTCTTCCTGTTAAAAGGGAGTTTTTCCTTCACACTGTCACCAAATGCTTGCTCCAAGAGGGTTGTTTGATGGGATTTCTCTCTATTATTGTAGGGCCTTTACCTTATAATGTAAAGCACCTTGAGGCAACTGTTGTTGTGATGCTATATAAATCAAACTGAACGGAATATTCAGATAAAACAAAAACACATTAGACAATTACAGTATTACAAATTGAATTTATTCATGTACATATTCTTAAACTGCCCATAAACCTTTATTTTTAACTGTATTTGTTTCAAACATCACATTTATTCAGTTTTAACATCATTCAATTTCATCATCTACACTTCAGTTTATTATAATACAACTGCTGCATCAATCCAAAGACAGTAAAGAAACACAGAAGGGATGAGAAGATAGCTCAGTGACTCACAGTGTGCATGTATCTTTGGGGAAGATACTGAACCCAAATCCACTGCATCTGTGAGAGAGTGTGTGAGTGCTTAATTTTTTATTTTTTTAAAGTCCAGTTCAAAATGCTCTCAGACTCTGGGCTACTATGTGATGCTAGAACAAATTCAGTGTGCACTGGCAGAGTTCCCAAATCTCTGGAACGATCAAAATGTGTTACTCCGAATAAATGTGTATTGATTTGCAGTGCCCTTCCCCTCCAGAGTGTTAAGGTGAACTAAAACTACAAAACAATTAGCATCATCTGATTTTTATCTCGATGAATCCATTTTAATTAAATCTATTTTACAAAAAATAAAAGTAAAACAAAGTGTAAGTGAAAGTATGTCTAATTTCTGGTTCAAAGCCCCTAAAAAACTTTGTCTGCACCAGTATTTCTTTATAATATATATTCATGACTGCACACAAAAACTGCTGTTACAAACATCTCTTTCACTTATCCTTATCAGGGTCACAGGTTTAGAGCCTATCCCAGCTACCACAGGCGCAACAGGCGCGGTACACCCAGGAAAGGAAATACAGACAGGATAAGACCCACTAACTGCAGGTCTTCATCCTGTGGGAAGAAGAGAAAACCTTCTTGCTGCGAGGCACGAAGGTTGAGGTTGAGTGCATCAGTTATTATATATGACAAATATAATTTTTGCCTTCAGACACGCTTCACCTGTCCATCAGTCCACCCAGCATATACAGTCTTTCCTATGATTAAAAGGAAATGACAATTTTCATTTGCAGTTTTTCTTTAAATTTGGACAGAAAGTCAGGTAGTGACAAACCCATTGATGTCTTATTTTGCTTTCCAAAAGCTGCCTTCAACAACATTCAGATCAGAAACCATCACAGTATAAATACTTCTTAGAATAAGACAAGTCAGACAGGGACTCTGTCCCAGCAATGAAATGTAGTCCTGCTACACCTTCTTGGGTACATTAGTGATGATAGGTTTGGGGCGGATCTTAAAAATCAGTTTTGTTTTAATGAGTGCGGACACAGAATAAGATGTGGAAGCAGAGCCTTGTTGGTCTGTTTCCATTGCTTCCTGTGTTATTTCATCGTTGTTACTGCTGTGACTGCCCTGTGAATGGCCCGAGTGCTTGGTGAGAACAGCAAAGGGTTTCTCCAGTTTGACCTGCTTCCCGTAGATAATGTGATGTCCTACAATCAGCACTGGCACCCCCTGGTGGATGGGAAACAAAATAATAATTCAGTGGCAGTGGATTCTCAGCTTTCCCCCAACACGATGACCATTTACAAGAACAACTCAAGTACCACTTTTTCTTTGATCTGATGACTTGGTTATTTATTGACACAATAGGACTCATGGGTTCATTTTTGGAAGTCTGCTGTCTTAGCCCTAAAAAGGGGTATCAAACAGACGCTTAAGTGCCAAGTTGATGGCAGTCTTGTGCAGCCACAGGCACAGCCCAACTGAGACAAGTGGAAGCGAACATTGTTGTTACTTCAGTTGTACATGTTGATATTATCATCAAGTATGCTGACTTCACGAGTCTGTTTGGCTGGTATGACCATGGTGTTTATGCTGGGAATGGAAAATTCCTAAGCATCTCATTTTCTCTCACCAGCCATTTTTGCACTGATGTGACTGCATTTTGAAACTGAATTAAATTAATCAAAGTACACAGATGTTTTCGACATAACATAGCAGCTGTTTCTTCACATTCTGTTAACATTGTTAGCTAAGTTTGGAAGCCTGTAAACTATTTGCATTTCTTTAATTAATCTTTGTATTATCCAAAACTTGCATTTGGGTGACACAATGACAACTCAAAACAAAACTGAAAATGAAAAAATTCAGAAAACAGAGCTTTTCATGTCAGTCTGTATTTTGTACCAATACTGTCCCATTTCATAAATAAACTTGCTTTATTACTACCTAAAGTACTAGTAATAGTGAGATTGTGCTATTCTCGTATAAACTTAATTTTAATTGATTTATAAACACTGCTATTATTTTTGAGGGAAATGATGCTGGATTTTAGTAAATACATAAATGATCTTTTTTGGGGGGCTATACTGTGTTTTTCAGCATGTTGTGTACCTCTTTGGTATACAGTAGATCTCCCATCACATTTCCTGCCAGACCAGAGTTGTGTCTAGACACCATCTCCCCCTGTAATTCCACCACCAGCCACTCGGGGGGACTGCTGCCATCCGGGCTGCCTCTACAAGAGCAGATGCATATCAACAGCCTATAAAGCAGTCATACTCAGCCTGTTTAATTCGGTAGATAAAAGAGCATATGTTTTTAATTAACATAAAAAAACATCAGATTAAAAGTTATATTTCAAGAGCAATACAACATCCTTTCAAAGTTGCGTTTAATAATGGCAATGCTGGAAAATTAAGAAAAACTTTCTGATAAAATCCTGCCACCTTGTGGTGAAAGATTTCATTACATTTTACAGTTATAATTTTCTATAATAAAAAGGTACCCCTAAAAACTTAATTGTAAAAAAAACAAACATTCAAGTGTCAATATATTCTAAAAAGAAAAAATATAAATATTCACACTGTTAGCTCAGGCACACACCACTCACATGTACAAAACAGATTCAACTTTAGACTTAAACCTTGACTTCCCTCATTCTCCTACAAACTTATTGAGCTAAAACAAGTATTTTATCTCCGCATGTATAATGTGATAGCAATACTGTATACTGATATAAATTTCAAAAAACATAAATTTGTTAAAATGAAAAAAAAAAACATCTCATCCTCTGATGAATGCACCTGTCCAAGCCTACACAGGGATGTCTAACATTTCTCTCCCTCTCTGTCAGCATCATGGCAAAACCACAGGAGGATTTACTAGAGCTTGAATACCCAGGTCCTGAGTTTTTAAGAATGAGCCTTTTCTTACTTTTAACAAACCAAACATTAAGCCTTTCAATGGTCTAGTCTTTGTCAGAAGTGTTGCTGGACCATAAATCCCGCTTTAAATTTAAGTATCAATTCTACTCTCCTCTTAAAATGTGGCTAATGACACTATAGTTGTTCCGATCATTAGCGTGAACTTGCCTTGAGTATTTCCCCCATAAACATATATTTGGCACTAAGTAATGGAAAGATAAAGTTCGCTCATCAGTTTTACCTGATCATTATTTGAACCATCCTCCCGTCAATAACGATTAGCAATAACACTAACTAATTTGCTACCGATGTAGCGCTTCAGCTGCAGCAACAAACCAACACTCTTCACTCAGTTCGTATTCCGACAGTATTTCCCGCCCACTGGGAGCGTTTCTTCTTCGTCGTCTTCTTCTTCGGCGCTTGACATCAACAACCAGGTTTATTACCGCCACCTACTGAACTGAAGTAACAAGACTCCGGGATGTAATCTACAGCACACCATGGGAAATTCCCATTCCACAAAGAATCCACGCACCAATTACCAACTCCCTGATACTTGGAGCAGTTGAATGAACCATTCCAATAAATCCATATGCAACTACTATCCACTACATTTTATCCAAGCCGTTGTCCGTACTGTCGACGTGATGACGTATGTCCATGAATCCACTACCGGTTCAAAGGGTAACAACGTGGGTCCTGGCGTGTCTCAGTTGGTGTTCAAGATAGTCTGGCGACAGCGAAGAGGCACAGTTGGTAACTTATGTTTTACATTAATAATTAATGCAACTGAATTACACGACGTGTTTGTAATGAGCTGTAAGGTGTTACACTTTGCTAACGAGTAGGTTGTCGCAGTGCTTCTTATGTTAGCACACAGAGCGAGCACTTTTTTTTACCCAGATGTGTGAATTTTGTGATATTTGTTTGATTAATATATTCAGCGCAGCGTGTGAGAGATTTTTAACTCGTTTACTCATTATGTACCTCAGGTGGCAGACCGGTGTTACAGTTCACATTAACTGGTTATGTTTAGCCACATGTCAGCCCGTTGTAACGAACAAAGTAGAACATCTCAGGCTCCCCCACACCTGGGGGGCTGAGATGTTATAAGAGAAAGAGGGAGTCTAAGACGCGTTTTGACACACAGACAAACAAGCACACACAGACACAAACATGCATTCCCACCCTCATGCACGCATATATAAACACTCACCCAACATGGAGACACAGAAATGGACGCCGTACACACACACACACACACACACACTGCCCATACAAACTCTGAAGTGCTCCGGAAAAGACCCTAGGCCTCACTCCGTCCACTCATATGTGGTGTTGATGCAAAAGCCTGTTTTTCCTCCCTCGCTTTTTCTTGAACGCGCTAACTCCGGAGATTGTGTAGGGAGCAGATGTATTGTAAACAACTCCACATAGCAAGATCCCGATTCACCGGAAGTTGTCACCCTCTCACAAAGCTCCTTTTGATGGTCTTGTATCTCATCAGAACTCATCTGACAGCTGTTTTGTCTCATCTATGGTGTGCCATCACCATAGATGAGACAAAACTCATGTTGAGATGTGCCACAAGGGGGCATAGCCAGTCTGTGGGAGCCAGAATTTTGACTGGGCTTCAAGGCATCAAATAGTTATTTCACTTAATCATGTACAAAAAATTGTATCATTTGTATCTATCTGGGTTTTTTTCCTGAACTTTTGGATGATTTTTTTTATCTCCATTACGGTGAAAAGACTACTCATTTCTGTATATTTTATGAACTGGAGATGGCGAACTTTTCATTTTATTGCTTTGATACAAGGTCTTAATCTTGTCAAACTTTGTGATATACTGGCAGGCAGAGGTGACTGCTCGTTGAAAAGGACGAAGCGTTTTATATGATAAAACTGCGAATTGTAAGAAACGTCTTTATGTATTCTAGGTACATTTTCAGATCGGCAGTAAGTGTTTTCAAAAAATAATTTGGGCTTTTTGGAATTGTCAATTTCTTACTAAGAAAAACCTTCAATGAACTTCAAAATGCCATTAAAGGTTGTTTTATGAGTATTGTTTTGCTTCTTTTGCCCAGCTGTCACTGAAATGAGACTACCTTTTTTCCTGTTCTCTAGTCAATAATGGGCGAGTTTAAAGTACACCGAGTCCGCTTCTTCGACTACATGCCGAGTGCTATCCGGACCATGGCGTTCAACAGTCAAACTGAGCGGCTGGCTGTGGCCCGGGCTGATGGCGCAGTAGAAATCTTCAACTTCAATGACAATTTCTTCCAAGAAAAGGTAATGCCATCAGATAGATGACATTACTGCATGGTTTAAATGCACTAAGTATTCATTCACACATCCAAATCATCCATTGGAACACCCAAGTTGGCTACAAGTATATAAAATCAAGCAGCTAGGTATGCAGACTGCTTCTACAATCATTTGTGAAAGAATGGATCAATTTCAAAAGCTCAGTGAACTCCAGCATTGTACTGTGAGAAGATGCAACCAGTGCAACAAGCTCAGTTGTGAAATTACCTCTCTACTAACCATTCCACAGTCCACTGTTAGTAGTACTGTAAACAGGAACTCAGCCATAAAATGGTACGATGTGTAAAATCACAGAGTGAGATCAGGTGCTGAGGTGCATAGTCTGCAGAAGTCTCCAACTTTCTGCAGGTTCATTTGTTACAGACCTCTAAACTTCATATGGCCTCCAGAACAATGCATAGAGAGATTCATAGAATGTGTTTCCACGACCAAGCAACTGCATCCAACCCTTACATCACCAAGCGTCACATACAGGTGGTGTAAGCACGCCACCACTGGTTCCTAGAGTAGTGGAAACATGTTTTCTTGAGTAATGGAGCGTTTTTCCATCTGGCAATCCAATGGATGAGTCTGGGTTTGGAGGTTGCTAGGAGAAGAGTACTTGTATGATTGTGTTGTGCCAAGTGTTACGTTTGGTGGTGTGGGGTTGTTTTTCAGGGGTTGGCCTCGGTCCCATAGTTCCAGTGAAAGAAACCCTAAACCCTTCAGCATGCTCACACATTTTTGGCAATTTCATGCTCCCAACTTTGTGGGAACAGTTTGGGGATGGTCCCTTCCTGTTCCAACATGACTGCACACCAGTGCACAAAACAAAGTCCATATAGACATGAACAGTTTGGCGTGGAAGAACTTGACTGACCTGCACAGAGTCCTAATCTCAACCCAACAGAACATCTTTGGGATGAATTGGAGCGGAGACTGAGCCAGACCTCCTCATCCAACATTAGTGTCTGGACTCATAAATGTGTTTATGGAAGAATGATGAAACGTTTCCATAAACACACTCCTAACCTGTGGAAAGCCTTCCCAGGGAGGATGATGCTGTCACAGCTGCAAAGGGTGGGCTGGCATCATATCGAACCCTATGGATTAAGAATGAGACGTCCATTAAATTCAAATGCGCGTGAAGGCAGATAAGTGATTACTTCAGCAGTATAGTGTAGTTTTGATAATGGCTGGAAGATTAATTGTAGGGAACCCTTCACTGCTCTGTATCACTTTTTGTCACACTCTTAAACCATAGTGTTGTTTTTTTGTGCAGTAATTTCCCTCATTATTGAAGGAGTCAAGGATGAAGCCAACAGAGACACTGGGTCTCCAACTCCTGCATCTGTACCAAATAGATCTAAAAATGCACATAGCACCTTAAAAAATAAAAGGAGATAAACAAAAATACAATTCTGCTGTGTGTTTGTGTGTGAGAGAGAAGATGTCAGGAAGCTCCCACGACAAGTGGAGAGTGGCAGGCATGGGAACCCCCTCACCCCCAGTAACCATGTTAAAGAGCCTAGCCAGACACTCGAACTGCACAAAGAGACACATCCACCTCACCGTTTGAAGTGTGGATGATGGGTGGATGTTCAAGACCAAGGCTTCTGGTTACTGTCCAAATTTCTTTCTTTTTTTTATTGCTAAAAGCCAATGAAAGTGGTTAAATGTAGCCACAGGCATGATGATCACTGCTGTGAATGTGAGATGTGTCAGGTGCCAAAGCTCAGGGGTTGCATTTTTCGACATTTTTCCAAACCCCTCAATCGCATAATGGAGTTTTGTAAAAGTGGTCTTGAGGGTAATAATATGATGCTAAAATTATTATTAATTTTTGGTTTGGGTATTTTGTACTTTGCTTTTGTGTTGTCTGTTGTTTCTGTAATGGCAGAAGGAAGGTAGATGATTCACAGCTGCAGACCAAATGTCAGGTACAAATAAAGAAACCTGAACCCAACCTCCACACTGGTTTTAATTTTCTCAGGTGATCCCAGGACAGGATGGCCGAGCTACTGAGGCTCTGTGTTGGGTGGGCCATCGACTGTTCAGTGCTGGTTTGAATGGAGAGATCACAGAGTATGACCTGGAGAACCTGAGGCCCCAGTATACTGTAGATGCATATGGAGGACCAATCTGGACCATCAGTAGCAACAGCCAGGGAACACAGCTGGCAGTGAGTGTAAACCTTCTGGATGTTATTTTACACTTCAGATATTTCCTGTGTCCGACTCATCAGGAAGTCTTGTTGATACGTTAATCACAAGAAATGTTTTCTGGGTCAGGTTGGTTGTGAGGACGGGACTGTAAAGATATTTGCAATATTGGAGGAGAGGATCCAGTTTCAAAGAAACCTCAACAGACATAAAGGTAAGACGACAAACTAGTTCACAGGTCTTTTCTTTAAAGAGTCTAAATTTCTGTCTTTAACATGGCTACAAACGTTAGACAGTGAACAGTAGAACAGCTAATATTACTGCAGCTGCGATTGTCGTCTGTGTGTTGTATTGAAAACAGATCAACTGAACTTAAAATGGTGTCAGGCTGTGCTTTTGCATAATACAAATTTGTACCACAAATGGTGCATCGAGTTTTTTCTGACTCCAACTTGGAGTCTGCGCTCTGGAGAGACCGAGACAGCACCTATACTAATGAGAAGATGAGATCATTTGTGTTAATAACCACTGGATGACAAAACTGTCTTAAACAAATATTTGTGTTTGTGAACCCGCCTGATTCAGTTGTATTTGACCTCTTTAGGACGCATCATATCTTTGTGCTGGCATCCATCGAGTGCACAGATTGCTGCTGGAATGACTGACATGATCACAATCTTTGATGCAGAGACGGGTATTTTCTCCTTGAGCTGCTTTGCACAATTAGCAGAAATGCAATCAGTTAAAACTGAAATGGAGCATGAGAAGAGATGTGTGTTCTTTACTGATGTGATTGTGTTTGTGACTGCAGGGCATGCTACACGCAGACTGCTGGTGGACAGGGCTATGGGAGCATCAAAGAATAAAGAAGTGGTTGTTTGGAGTGTTGGTTATCTGTCCGACCACACCATCATCAGTGGTGATTCTGCAGGA